CTGCCTTGGAGACGTCAGACTGACTGAAAACTTGGAGAAAATTCTTTTCTGAGGCCATGTCGGAAAACCAGCCGTCTGATGAATTGGCGATAAACTGCTTGACAAACGCCACGTGTTGAACAAAGAGTTGTCATATTATCCGTTCATGATAACGGCGCTTTAATTAATTTTTTTTAGTTAAGCAAGGTATTTTTTTCCGAAAAAAAGCCGCGGGTTGTTCACGCCCGACTAAGACGTCATTGGTCAAGTGGTGATCACATGACGCACGAAGGAGGAGGAAAGATACCCGACCAAGACCTCATTGGCCGAGAGTGATCACGTGACGCATGAAGGAGGCTGTTGACGCCCCCATCTAGAGTATAAGTATGAGAAGCCGCTACGAAGAAATGGGGAGGGCAGTTCACGCCTCTCAGAAGCATAGTGAGAAAGTAGGAGTGAGAAAAAAGTTACCAAAAATGGAAAAGAGTGGAAAGTCCCTAACCAGAAATAAAAGAGGTGGATATGTATTTAGAATTATCGAGGAATTCCCCGACGCCAACAGACCCAACCCGGTTTTTGTCGGCGTCAATAAAAAACCAGGCCCCAACAGGCAGAAATCAGTTTGGACCCTGACGAGCAGAAGACAGTTCGTTCGGGCCCTGGCAGCAGAAATGATAGACCAAGATAGCTGACCAAGATTCACGCAAAATTTTGGACTCCTCTTCAACCAAGAACAATTATTTTGAAGAGCGACTTAGGACCAGACCACCGAAATAAGTTTTTCGACTTTCGTCCAGAGACACACCGAAACACAAATTTCTTAGAGAGCAAACAACTTGAAGCGTTAAAACTTGCCTAGCGAAAACGACGTGTCACAATCCACAGAACGGGTCGGGAGATAGATGCAGTCCTATGTATCGAACAACTAGACATAAAGTTTGTTACCTTTTTCTTTGATACTTTGAACTTTTTGAGTTTTCATTTTCTTTTCTTTTATGCATATTTGGGTGTTATCACCCTCGTTGAACTCAATTTGCATTACGGCCCCAACCACTGTTTGATCTCGTCTGTCTAAGATCAATTCACAACGTGGGTGGGCAGACTGGAGATCAGTGCAGTTACCTTGGTAACCAGGCGTTGGAAGCGAGTTGGGAACGGCGAGGCTGATATCAAATCTAACCAGATTCCCACCCGAATCACCAAAACGTTAGAACGTCACATTTGGGTGCCGCGACCGATACCAAGCCAGTTGGTCGTCACAGTACGAGACAACACGACTGACGCGACAGGCGAACGTCACGTTTGGAGCAGCGACACCCGGGCGGAGCAGCGAGGAGCGAACAGCTGGCGCCGCGGCGAAGACGTCACAATTGGTGCTGTTTAGGGACGTCACAACTGGTGTCGTGACCGGGATAGGACCCTGGAACGGCCAGGTCACAACTGGCGCCGTGGTAGATCAGGATAGAACGTCACAGTTGGCGCTGCGATCGGGGGACGACGTTACAATAATAATAACAATAATTATATTTATTATAAAATAAAACCTATATACGCCACCACATCCACCGGTATATCTCCAAATTTCCTGATTAACATGATTTTTGCCTCAACAATAAAATTTAGCCCAACACTAATATCGTACACCTAACCAACAATCTATACAAATACTGACACTACCAACTCCAGCAAGTTCACAAGCAGAAGTAATATAGGCATACATTCGGGCACATTCCTACCGTCCTTCCTCCCACTAGCTTCTTCAGGAATGAAATAAATGTACACAACCAGACAGGAACAAGCAAAAAAACAAAAAAAAACAACAAATATAATCCACATTCACACGCGAAAAGACGCACATGTCATGTATGGTCTCCGTCTTAGGATTAATATCGAAAAGTTTCAGAATAGCGCTCAATGCCTTGATCAGCGTGGCAGTTATTAATTTGAATTTGTCGTCAGGTCTATTACGGTGAACAAACAGTGCGGGTAAATCGTTTTATGCAGACTTTATATATATATATATATATATATATATATATATATATATATATATATATATATATATATATATATAAGAGAATAGAATCCAGTTAGAAGTCAGTGTCCAGTATAGAGTATTTTAGAATTTGTAGGTCTTATGATTTGGATCGTGATTACGATTCCAGTGTAATAATTTATAACCATGGAATATTTGTGTTTCAGCATATATATATATATATATATATATATATATATATATATATATATATATATATATATATATATAAAGGTAAAACAATATGAAAATGCATTATTAGCCGAAGCGTTTCGTTCAGTGGGAGCTTTTCAAGGAAAAAACTAAATGAATTTATTGAAAACAAAGTAACTATTAACAACAAACAAAATGTCCCTAGCAACTAAAATTTAGAAAACGCTATTGTATTTATATTATCAACTGAAAATTATGAATGCAATAGCGTTTTTTTTTTTAATTCTTCTAGTTGCTAGGAACATTTTGTTTGTTGTTAATAGTTACTTTGTTTTCAATAAATTCATATCGTTTTTGCCTTGAAAAGTCTGCACTGGACGGAACGCGTCGGCTGGTAATGCAATTTTCCTATTGTCGTTCACTTTTTATACATATTTTCTTTTCTACAGTTTAAACCTCAGAAATATATATATATATATATATATATATATATATATATATATATATATATATATATAATTGTGTATTTGAGCAGCTATTTTTCTTTTATACAAATTTTGTTAAAGGCGCCTGAAGGTACTGCGATTAAGATTATTATTTATTTTTTAGTTCTTTCTTTTCTGGATAGAAAGTTTGTACAAATTGTCCATAGCTCAATTAAGACTCATTTAAACACACACGGAATCCTACTCAAGACTATGTGCAAGATACTTTTAGAAAATACATGTATAATAGCCTCATCCAAATGTTATAAAAAAGCATAAAAATAATGGAAGCTCGAATAATAAAAATAAAAGGAAGGCAACACTCAATAACATCAACCGTGTTCGGCAAATATAAAAGAAATATTTTAATCATTCTAGAAACATATATGTACACACTGATAATGGATCATAGAATAACTGGAATCGATTGGCTGTATAGATCAATTGGACAATTTTTACACACATTATGTCCAGAAATGGAAACATTTATACGAACACAAGAAATGTTTTTAAAATCTTCTACGGACTAAGAGAGTGTAGTGTAGAAACTCTCCGTAATTATTATTGTTTAAAACGCTTTCTCACAGTTGATTAGCCATTTTTAATTCCGTTTTTATGTTTTTCAATTTAATATTCTAAGGTGTATTGTATAGTAATAGTAATCTTATGTTACTCGAGAGGAGACAGGCATGACTTCGTGTTAAGAAGACCACCAAAACATTACCATTGCCATTAAATAATATAAGTTTCTTTCTTTGCCCTCATATTTTACTATATGACCAGGCCTTTATTGCATCAAGAGATATATAGTGTTTTGGTATAATTTTCTAATATTTAACATATGTTAATAGTTAGTTTCGGTAATGATCACTATGTTCACGATTTATATAAGTTTCGATAAGTGACAAGTTAAACTACGAGAAAGTGTGGTGCTTATGAGGCCTATTTGTACATACATATATGTTTATGTGTCTATGTGTATGTGAGTGAAAGAGGCAGAGAGTTTTCAAAAAATACGTCTACAATAAAGACTGGAAATTGAGAGAGCGTGGACATGATTTGTTTAAACATGTCTCAAAAGTTTACTCTGGAAAAGGGTTTCAAAATGCTTCGAAAAATTAGAAGAATTAAAAACGAAAATAATATTCAACTGCAATATCTAGGAAACAATCATAATATTGAGGAAGTAGATGCGTGTCGTTCAGGTCAGGAATAATACCTCGGGGAAATTATAACATTAGATAAATATCATGAAAATTAATTGGAATGTCATATAAGCGACTTATAGGAATCCATTTAAAAAAAGAATCGTATTGAAAAAATCTTATACAGTTGAATCCCTTATATCCGGAACTCCTTATATTCGGAATCCCTCATATCTGTAGAGCCTCTTATCCGGAGTACCGCATATCCGGAAACCAGCATATCCGGACATGTTTTTGATGTCTATATTTGAACTATTTGGGTGATATGTAACTGATTTGAAAATTCTGTTTTTCAGGAAATTTACTTTGGATAATTGCTTATGCTTATTTCACCCTAATGGCTTGTATTGGTGCAAAAGATGATGGGAATAAGAGGAAAGGATGACAACGCGACACATCTGCAACAAGACTTTGTAACCAATTTCTCATATCTGGAATCCCTCACACCCGGAATCGCTCATATCCGGAATCCCTCATATCCGGACTTTGTAACCAATCCCTAATATCCGGAAACGCTCATATCCGGAATCCCTCATATCAGGACTCCCTCATATCCGGAATCAATCATATCCGGAATCCCTCATATCCGGACTTTGTAACCAATTCCTAATATCCGGAATCGCTCATATCCGGAATCCTTCATATCCGGAATCCCTCATATCTGGAATCGATCATATCCGGAATCTCTCATATCCGGAATCTCTCATATCCGGACTTTGTAACCAATTCCTCATATCCAGAATCGCTCATATCCGGAATCCCTCATATCTGGACTTTTTAACCAATCCCTCATACCCGGAATCCCTCATATCTGGAATCCCTCATATCCGGACTTTGTAACCAATTCCCCATATCCGGAAGGGCTTCTTAGTCCGTTTGTCAGGGATTCTACTGCAGTAAGAAAAATGCTGAGAAATGAAGGGAAAAGAAAATAAGAATGGAAAAATGAGAAATTGAGAAGAAGAAAGTAAAACATAAAAAATCTATGTTGAGACCCCCACCCCTTAAGAAAAAAGAAAAAAAAGGCAAAAAAGAAGAAGTACGAAAAAAAGAGAAAAGGGAAAATTAAAATAAGGCAAAAAAGAGAAAGAAAAAAAAGAAGGATAAGAGGAAAGAGATAAAAACACACGAGGGGTTAGATAC